ATAGTATTTTCACTATGAACAGTGTATGGAACAAATGGTAAACTAGGTTTGATGAATAGAATGTGCTCCCAGACTTATTCTGGCCTGTGGTATACCTACTCCTCATTTTAAATTGATATTCTACCAGTCTTTAGTTCCCTACCATTAGCCATTTCTTACTCATGAAGCAAATTGGATTACTGTAATGACGTAGGCTTCCTGACATATAACTAGTTCATATTGTCATGAGTGTCTCTTTTTTAAGTGTTGTTTTTTTTTCACTCAGAGCCTCATTTTATAAAATATAACATTTTTCTGCCCTTTTCCAGTAAGTGGGCTTTCAAGAGGCCATATCTTTAGGTCTAGTACACTAATGGCTTGGGTTTGAGCCAGTGGCTTGGGTTTGAGCCAAAGAATAGCAAGTCTCACATATATGCATGCTAATCATAAACCTAGGATCACACTAAACCTCATATGCTTTTATAATAAAAGCTTCATTTCTATTCATTGAAGTATTTTCAGATAAAAACAGATATGATCCAGGTGCAGTGGTGCACACCTGTGATCTCAGCAGCTCAGGAGGCTGAGGAAAAAGAATCGTGAGTTCAGAGCAGCCTCAACAACTTAGTGAGGCCCTAAGCACCTCAGTGAAACCCTGTCTCTTAATAAAATACAGAAAAGGACTGGGGATATGGCTCAGTGGTTAAATGCCCCTGGGTTCAATCCCCAGTACCAAACAAAAACAAAACAAAACAAACCAGATATGCTACTCCTCACTCAGTTCTACTGAATGTATGTTGAATACTGTGAAATAGAACTTTCCTGATTTTGCTATTCTCTTGCATTTCTTTGTTCTCCGTACTTCATAGCATGTTGCTTCTTTCATTTTTTTTCATTATTGTCATTTATTAACTGTGACATAAATGCATAAGACTGATAAACTCTCTTTTGTAGTAGCTAATTGCATGGAACCAGAAAGACCTTGATTGGAACGTTGACTTTTAATACATATTTGAATATATATATATATATTCATACCAACTACTAATATTATAGTCATGAATGCGTTTTTGACTTTGCTAGACTTAATTTACTCCTCAATAAAATGAAGAAATTTATCTACATTATAAGGTTGGTATGAGGATTAAATGAGATAACATATGAAATATGCTCAGCCCCTGCCTAGCAACTAGAAGCAATTAACAAATGAAGTCTATGTGTTTACTGCTTTTTATCTATATTTACTGAATTCTTCCTATGTGCCAGGTACTGTCCTGGGTATTGAGGATATATAATGGTGAAACAGACACTGTCCCTTTCCTCAAGATTTCACAGTGTAGTGTTAGTATTAACATGATATATTGGGCCGGGGCTGTGGCTCAGTGATTGAGCACTTGCCTCACATGCGTGAGGCACTGGGTTCGAGCCTCAGCACCACATACAAAAAATAAATAAATAAAATACTGTATTCATAAAACAAATTTTTAAAAACATGATATAAGAACTACTAAATTTAGCTTTTTTTTTTTTAATGTCAAGGGACATTTGTCTCCACTTGAATCTCTTTTTTAAATATTTTTTTGTAGTTACTGTTGAACACAATACCTTTATTTTATTTATTTATTTTTATGTGGAGCTGAGGCTCGAACCCAGCACCTTGCACGTTCTAGGTGAGCGCTCTACCACTGAGCCACAACCCCAGCCCCTTGAGAATCTTTTTATCGTGAGCATGGGTTACTTTTATAATAAAAAATAATTATAGTTAAAATGCAGTGTAATCATTGCTGATCTGAGTTGTGTATAAGAATATGAGAAGAGAGAAGCATCTCCTGTTGCCTGCCTTCAGATACAATTACCATATCTAAAGTAAGATGGGCAATAGACAAGTTAGAAGGCTGCCCACAGAAGTGACACATGGGAAAGGAAATTCCCCAAAACCAGTGAAGACAGAAAGGGTGGGTTAGGAGCAATTAGAGCTAAGGAAATGAAAAGCTAGGAGTCCAAGTTAGCAAGAACAGATTAGATTGTGTATCTGGCTAAATAAACAAAGCAGGGACATAATGATAAGAAACAAGAGTGTCTCCATCCAGAAGCCAAGATGGGTGAGGTTAATTGATAGTAAATGGAAGACCATGAATACCAAGCAAAGCATGTGCTGTGATACATAGTCTTAGTTGCCATTATCCCCAAACATGGTAGCATACACAGAAGGAATTTGCATAATTGAAAATAATGCTTGTATTTCTTTCCAAAGAATCTTAATTTGACATCAGCATATAAATGTACAAATGACATGATAGGAGACTACAAAGTAAATGTCATTGTTTTTGTTGGTATTTTTTATTTTTGTGGTGGTGGTGGTGGTGTAGTGGTGGTGATTGAATCCAGGGCTTTGTGCATACAAGGCAAGCACTCTACCCACCAGCTGAGCTATATCCCCAGCCCTAAAACTTGGTTTGTTGGTGTTGTGGGTTTGTTTTTTTTTTAATTGTTGATGAACCTTTATTTTATTTATTTGCTCATATGCAATGCTAAGAATCGAACCCAGTGCATCACACATGCTAGGCAAGTACTCCACCACTAAGCCACAACCCCAGCCCACCTAACACTTGTTTTTTAAAGAACTTATTCTCTTCGTCAGGACCAGACAGTTTATTTCCTTGACCCATTTTACTTTTGTTTAATTGACTACTTCCCAAAGATACCTGAGAAGACTGCATATTTACTTAGAATAACTGTTTTAGGTATATAATGTGGCACTCAGTACACAAAATCATGACACCAAGCATTTATTCTTTTTCTGTATTGAATATAGATTGTGTAGAGAAAAGCCAAGTTGCATGATAAAAAGGGTCTTTTATAAAGAAATCTGTCATGTTCTAATGTGCAATAGGGTAACTATAGATAATATGTTTTCATCACAAATTAATGGTGAATATTGGAGGAGATAGAGTCAACTTGATCTAAACATAACAGAATAAACTATTGAATCACATGGTGCCCCATAAATATTTACAATCTGTGTGTCAATTTTTATTTTTTTTAATTAAAAAAAAAAAAACAGAAGCAGAAGGGGAAACTGTTCTATGAGGAAGCCATTGCATCTTAGACTTAAAATATACTAGTATACTAGTATATTCCATACTAGATACCCTTTTTTTTTTTTTTGTTGCAGGAAGTGTGGTAATCAGTCATATGTAAATTGATGGCTGTCCCTCTTTTTATATGCATACCTCTCTCTCTGGCACAGCTGTCTTGCCTCCCAAGATTTTTTTTTTTATAAGGCTACTTCTGTTCTTGAATGGTATCAAGTAAGTTGAGCATGAAATGACTTTCAGAAGTCAGAATGGGAGAGTACTACCCTTAAATATGAAAATAGGTGTTGCCTGGTTCATTCCTGTTTATCCCACACCAGAGCTTGAGGCAACCCTAGAGGTAACTATGCCATAGGCCCTTTAGCTGCATAAACTACAGAGGTTTAGTCATCTTCCCCTTCTTCAACCCTGAACAATAAGCTCTGAGAGGCCTGGGACTAATCTGCATAAGCCTTCAGCTCCCTAGACCTTTCCAACATCTATTTTAGCATATGAAATTTCTGATATGTTTTCAAGCTCATTGTCAATTTACCTCCTAACCATAAGATTTCTCATAGCTTGTTACTTGTTTTTTAACTGAGCTTATCAAAGTTCAAGTTCATAAAAACTCCACTACTACAATTTCACCCACTTGAGAAGAGTTAGCCAGAAAATCTGAATGTTCCTTGATTCCAAATATTCAAACATTCTTACTGTGTTATAAACTAAAAAAAAAAGTTGTATATATTTTTTCTAATTTATTTTCTTAGCTTTCAAAGTAATTTGTTTAAAACGAAAAATGAATAGGCTTACTGCCACATTTTAGTTGTGCTAAATTGTTTGGCTGTAACTTTAGTGGTGATGGAGACAATTTTCAAGCGGTGGAATCTGTTCTGTTTGGATCTGACAGCTGGCTATATTAAATATCTTGGAGCTTTTTACTTTGCATGAGGAGAGGAAATTGGGAGGGTGGGAATAGCAGTGGAAGAAAGCAGTCCACTTAATTTAATGTTCTGTGTTTGTTTGCTGATTCCAGTAATAACACTGTGCAGCTGTTTGAACAGCTGCCTTTTGATTTTCTTTGTTTACTGTTTAGGTTTATTAAGCTTGTCTTTAATACTTATTGTCTGCTGTTTAACTAGCGTTCCTTCTTTATTGAATATATTTTAATATGTACCACTCTTGTGATCAAAGCATGCTTTGATGTATATAAGTTAATTTACTAAAGAAAGAACTTTTAAATTTTTGCAGCTCATAATGAAGATGGCTTATACTTACTTTGTTATTATCCCTTAGCTGTATCATTGTAGTTAAATATTTTATAATTTGATGAATTGTCTATTGAAATTAAGTCAGGATTTAAATTATGTTAAGCAACAGTTTGTTAATTTTCCTGAGTCTGCCAACAGGCAGCTTAGTCTACATACTCCATTCTAGTAAAAAAAAGAAAAAGAAAAAAAAATTGGCAGACTAATTTTAAAGCATGTGGATTTTGTTTTAACTACTTTGTATGAACAGATTGGGTACCTAGAAAGTATACACAGACATACACAGGTAAAAGAGATATTTTGTATTTATTTGTCAGTCTTTTTTTAATGTTTATTTTTAGTTTTTTTTAGATGGACACAATATCTTCTTTTTATTTTTATGTGGTGCTGAGGATCGAACCCTGTGCCTCATGAATGCTAGACCAGCACTCTACAACTGAGCCACAAACCCAGCCCTGTCAGTCTTCTAAGTAGACTTGCTGTAGGGCTGGGGTGGTGGCTCAGCGGTAGAGCACTTGCGCTTACGTGGCCCTGGGTTTGATCCTCAGCACCACATAAAAATAAGTAAATAAAATAAGGATACTGTGCCCACCTACAATTAAAAAATAAATATTTTTTAAAAAGACAAGTAGACTTGCTGTAAATTTCTTCATATTGTGGCAATTTTTTATATTTACAGGTGAGGGACTTGTGCATTGCTTACATGCTGGTGACATTAACTTATCTCTATATTGGAGTCCTGGTTTTTGCTTCATTTCCTTCACCACCATTATCCAAAGATTGTATTGATCAGGTAAGGCACTGTGTGCCCTCTTTGTGTGATTCCTTATACTTTTGTTTATGATTGTAGGCACTATGCTATAGTAACAAGATATAATATCAGACAGACCTAGGTTTGAATACCATTTCCACCATACCCGCAAAGTGTAGGAATTTGGACACCTTTCCCAATCTTTTATGAGCTTCAATTTCCTTTTCCATTAGATAGTGTACATACTCTGTCTGAAATAACATACTAGATACCAGGCACCTTGTGATATTCAAATAAATGGCTTATATGATGTATGTTATTTACCTTTGTGTGGAGAATAGTTACAGTTATTGTTATGAATTTATAAAATCTCTACAGAGAATCCCCTGACCTGCCTTGTTTTCCAAACTCAGATCTTAAAATGCCCTGGATAAACTGTTCTGAGTTCATAATCTCTAATGATAGATCTGACTCATTTAGATACTGAGTTGCTACTGAAAACAAAGACAGACTATTTGGCTGCTTAAAAAGACAGAAAAAAAAATAGAAAAAAAATCTTTCACTAAAAGGTTACCATAAGTAATATTTTCTTCGATTTAACCCATCAAAAATTTAGGAATAGTATACTCTTTTTTGGGAGGACGGGGATACCAGGGATTGATCTCAGGGGGACTTGACCACTGAGCCACATCCCCAGCCATATTCTGTATTTTATTTTAGGGATAGGGTCTCACTGAGTTGCTTAACACCTTGCTTTTGCTGAGTCTGGATTTGAACTCCGGATCCTCCTGCCTCTGCCACCCAAGTCACTAGGATTACAGGCTTGTAACACTGCTCCTAGCTAGGAATAGTCTACTTTTTATTGTGACTACAGAATTTTTCATTAAAAAAAAAGAAAGAAAAAACAAAAAACAGCTTTTCATGGTTCCTTTCTAGTCAAAAGATATTCCTCCAGTAGAATATAGTGGTGTATACAATGATTTATTACAACTGAATTATAAAATTTATTTCAGCAGAATAATGTTAAGTACTATTCTCATCTCTCTAAGAGGAAGAGGTTACTGCTGTTATAATAGTTTGAAATGTTCTTATTCTCTTGATTTCTTTGATTCCAGAAGTTCTTTGGCAGGCAGATATTTGCTGAATTCCCAGATATGAACAATCCCATACAAAGCCTACTCCCTTGGGAATAGGGATATTTGTGGTATTTGTATTTGAAAGGAAAAATGTTTTAAATTGAGTGACTAATTTTTTTAAGATATCAAACTAAAGGGGTTATGAAACATTGTAGAAATAAATTATTTTTTTACTTAATGTTATACTGTAAACAGTGGTGGTACTAGATGATAGATATACTCTCACCTTATTCTATAATCTTTACTATGAAAGCACTACAGTACTTCAGAGGAGGAAAAGCAAGAAAGCTAAAACAGTGTTGAATTTAATTTGCCATTTAAATATATTAAAAACTGATTTGGGTATTGTGTTTGGACCTTATAGAAAGCAGTGCTTCTTGATCCATCTATGGTAAATAACAAGTTTTTTGTTTTTGTTTTAAATTCAAAGCAATTGCAGACTGATACTTTTATAAAAGAGTAAATATATGGCAGTATCTTAACTTCTATAAGAGTTTCTCAGCATTTACTTTCAATATTTGTACTTTCCTCATTGAAAAATAGCTAAGGAGCAGTTTGCGGATGGTCACCAGTTCACAGTCCACAATTTGAGTAGTACCTGTGTTCAAAATAAGCATAAGACTATCCATTTTATGAATTTGTATGTACTGAATTTGAGTTTTAACATTACCTCATTATCTTTCTTGGGTTAGAATTTTTTAGACAACTTCCCTAGCAGTGACACCCTGTCCTTCATTGCAAGGATATTCCTGCTGTTCCAGATGATGACTGTGTACCCGCTCTTAGGCTACTTGGCTCGTGTCCAGCTATTGGGCCATATCTTCGGTGACATTTATCCTAGGTAAGGACTCTTCTCTTGACCAGCAGGATGTGCCAAGCAACAAATGACTATGCAAACAGGTCAGTTTAAAGTGTGACTGATCCTTTTGCTATAAAAATTTGCCTAATGAAATGGTTACTAAGGATAGATCATTGGTGTCCCTTTCCCAGAAGAGCTTTAAATATAGAAGCCACTCCCTTGTCCAGAATAGATTTAGGTTCATTCCTTCCAGTATAGCTAATTAACTGATATCAGTTATATATATCTTATGACTTAGTTGCTATTATTTTACATATTGCTAAGAAGCACAAAATATGTCATACCTGTGTTGTCATGTGTGCAAATGAGAAGCAACAGTGTTACGTAAATTATTGGTCATTGATACTTACTTGTGTGTTATTAACATTTGTGCATTTTTGACATAAATGATCAGACGTTTAGAATTGAAGATGAGATATATGAGTGTATTTCTTACTTGATATATGACAAGTTTAAATTACAGTGGTAAATTTTAATCTCCTGTTGGATATGGGGGAATTGTGAGTCCCTTTGAAAATCAGTTTAAAGCTAAGCTTGTTACCCTTATCCAAGAGAAGTTTCCATGTATGGTTTAAGGGTTTCCATGAAGTCTTCTTGTGGATCCCTGATTAACTCCTTCCTACTCTTACTTTGGTTTTTCTTTTTTTTTTTTTTTTTTTTAAATATTTATTTTTAGTTATTGGCGGACACAACATTTTTGTTTGTATGTGGTGCTGAGGATCGAACCAGGGCCGCACGTATGCCAGACGAGTGCGCTACCGCTTGAGCCACATCCCCAGCCCCTTACTTTGGTTTTTCATTGTTGTTGTTATTTTCTTTTTGCAATACTAGGGATCAAGCTCAGGGGATTTTTATCATTGAGCTACATCCTCAGTCCTTTTTATTTATTTTGAAACAGTCTTGCTAAATTGTCAAGGCTGGCCTCAAACTTGTGATCCTCCTGCCTCCTGAGCCCCTGGGCTTACAGGTGTGTGCACCTGTAATTACCACACCAGGCTTACGTTGTTTTATTTTAGGTTTGTGTTAGTGAAAAGTACCTAGTCCTATTTTATTGGGAATAAATTATCTTAAAGGAAGAAAACTTTAAAATTTGGGGAAAATTGCATTTTACCATGACAAACTGAATAAGTGATCTTAGCCACTTCTTGTTGGAAATAAACTTTATGTAGTCTGTTCCCTCGGTAAGTAATTATATCTATAAATATGTTGGTTTAAAAGCAAAGCAAAAGTCAAGAGTTATCAGGTCTCAGGGGTAGGGGGGCGTAGCTCAGTGGTAGAGTACTTGCCTAGCATGCATGAGGCCCTGGGTTCTATCCCAGCACTGAAAGAAAAGAGAAAAAAAGAGTTACCAGATCTCTAAGATTGATAGTAGAAACAAACTGCATTCCTAACATTACTAATCTAGAAGACTGGAGTTCAGTAAATATAAGACTCCTGTTGTGTTTATTCTCTGTGCTGTATTTATATTCACCAACATAAAATAAATTTTGTGAATTTATGGATGAACAAATTCTGGACAAATGCATTACTCCTGTTTTCTGCCATTATTTTGCAGAATGGTGGCTGTTAGACTGTTTTTTCTTCTTGCAAAATGTCTGGGATTTCCCTTTCGTGTTCACATTATATTTCTTCCCCTGTCACCAAAAACACACTATCATTTATCCTACAGTTACAAGTACGCTGCAGCCTCTGCATACTTGGGAGCATACTTTTTGGTCTCAGGACCTCTTTATGCTGTTAAAATTTATTGAGGACCCCCAGGAGCTTTAGTTTTTGCAGGTATATCTATCAATATTTAACATATGAAAAATTAAGATTTAAGAATTTTAAAGTATTTGTTAATTTCCTTAAAAATCAATAAGGCCAGGTGCAGTGGTGACCACCTGTAGTCCCAGCTATTTGGAAGGCTGAGGCAGGAGAATCTTGAATTCGAGGCCAGCCTGGTCAACATAAGCAATGCAGAGATACCCTGCCTCAAATAATAATAATAATAATAATAACCATTATTTGTTAGCATTAATAACATTTTTTCAAAATATAACTACTTCCAATTTTTTTTAACATTTTAAAACTCTTTAATGTCTGCTTCTCTAGTGGACAATTGGATTCCCTTTCGTTTCCGCATTGTCTGTTATAATATATTGATTTCATTTAAATATGTGAAGAAAAATCCAGCCTCACATAAATATACTTGAAAACTATAGGGTTTTTTGGGGGGTGGGGTGGGGTTCTTTGGGGGAGTGTGGATTTTTTGTTGCTGTTGTTTTGTTTTGGGGGGGCTTTGCATTCCTAGGGATTAAACCCAGAGACACTCTACCACAGCTACCTACCCAGCCTTTTTAATTTTTTTAATGTTGAGACAGGGTCTCACTAAGTTGCTGAGGGTGTTGCTAAGTTGCTGAGGCTGGCCTTAAACTTGTGACCCTCCTACCTCAGTTTCCCAAGCAGCTGAGATAACAAGCATGTTCAACCGCACCCAGCAAGAAGGGGTATTTTTAATAGCCTTTTCAGACAATGGCGGATATTCTTTGATACTATGTCAAAACTTTGACAAGTGGTAGTTTGTTATAGTTGCAATGTATAATCAGGAATTTAATCACATTAAAATCTATTGGTATTTCTTGTACATTGGTTCTTTTATCCATCATGAATGGTCAATATTGGTTCACTGAGTTCTGCAGATCTCCCAAAACCCACATTCATTATTATCAATAATTTCATCATGAAATTCTTTTAAGTTTTGGGAAACTCACAAGTTCTTCAAAATTATAGTTTTTATTTGAAAGCTCACATGCTGTCATTGGCAATAAATACTGCAGGTTGTTTCCTAAAGTGATAAGCTCATCATTTATTTTAAAGAAAATGTCTGTCAAACACTGAAGTTTGTTTTTGTTTTTACAGTACTGGGGATTAAAGCCAGGGTGCTTACCACTGTACTATATCCCCAGCCCCTTTTATATTTTTCACTTTGAGACAGGGTCTTGCTGAATTGCCTAGTCTGTCTTCAGACTTACAATCCTCCTGCCTCAGTCTCCTGAGTAGCTGAGATTACAGGCATGCACCAACAGCAGCCCCCCCACACACCCACACACACACACAAAAAAACACCCAAGTTTGGATGACCATCATTGTCTGCATATCAAGTAAAAATAGCAGTATTTGGGAAAAACAGCTAGTTTGGCTTCCAGTTCTACTGCTCAAGCACTTTTTCCCAAGAACAGCCATTTTACTTCAGTATATAGGAGATATGCTCTATTATGTAATTCCCATTTGATCAATAGAATATTAAAAAGATGTATATTCAAAGCATGAATTTTTTCTGTTGTTTTCAGACTGGAGTTCAAACCCAGATCCTTGCACATGCTCAACACATGTTCTATCACTGAACTGCACCCCAACCCTCAACAGCATTTTTTAATAATTTTTTTTCTTTTTCTTTCTTTCTCCTCCCTCCCCACAGTATTTGGCATAAAGAATACAAATTACAGATAGGTACAGTTACCTATACCCATGCTAAGGGGCCAGCATTTTGAACCACCATTATCTTTGCAAAGCAAATAACATCTTGTAGTATGAAAAAAATTTTTACCCAGGGACTACCTGAAAGGATATTGGGAAGCCCTGAACTTCATGATCACACTTTAAGAACTACCACTTTGGAAAATATAGAAAGTCATTTCCTTTTACAATACAGAAATAACAAAGGCCCAGCCAGGTCTCAAAGCCCTGAAGCAATTTTAAGATTTGAGTTCCTAAACAAATAGTAAGATCTTGAAGCCTAATATCTTTGTAATTTATCAAGATGTATGACTGACCACTTATTTGCATAAGGGATTTTCCTTATTTTTAGTTCTCTGTAATCTTTATCTGAGATTAATTAATCTCTGATGATTTGGTCCAAAATGTTGCTTTGATATGTACATTAGGCTTCCGAGAATCATTTTGGGGGGAAGTATTTATTTCCTTGGCATCAGTGTTTATGTACATTTATTGTTATTTGTTTCCAAAATTAATTCCCAACCTTGAATTGTTAATATCTAGCTAAAGTATTTAGTAAATATTCTATTCATGGTAAATATTGAATAGCTTTAGATAAATCTGAAAAATAAATACTTGTCCATATATAATGCCTTTCCCTTAATATATAAAATTTTTCTATTATAAATGTTAAGGTAAACATTTTACAAACAATTGAAGTATAGAAAAGAGGAAACATTACGTGAAATTCTAAGTCCTAGTACTATCCATCATTACTGCTTTTCCAGAGTGTTTACATCTAATATTTTTTCAAATATTTTTGGATTTTCTTCTGTAGTGAAAATCTAGCTAGCTCTTTTTCAAATTGGTTAGGTAATTTTTTAAATCATCTAGGTAATAATGATGTGATTTTTAATAATTGTTACTATATTCTGTCAGGTAAATTGTTGCCTTACATTTTTAATAGCTTTTTTCATGGTTTTGATTATTTTCTTAAGATATTCCAAATGGAATGATAAATCAAAGAATGTGAATTCTGATACATGCTACCAGTTTGCACCTATAGAATTTGGCCTATTTATGTAATTGCATTAAAGGGCCAATTTCACTGTCTTGTGACCAGCAGTGAGTACTATTGTTTGCCTTTTATTTTTGCTGTGATCTTATTGGCAATTCATTTTAAAGATGTTAAGAATGAATTTTGTTCTTATATTAGTGGTTACAATTTGCTTATTTATATATATGTTGTTTTTCCTTTTAATTCTCTTCTCACCTTGTAGCATTTTCCACGTGCTGATTCTTAATCTAATTATTGTGGGAGCTGGAGTGATCATGGCCTGTTTCTACCCAAACATAGGAGGGATCATAAGGTACTGCCTGTACCCTTTTGGTGCATTGGCCTTTATTTTTAGGCTTTTCCTGATGTTGTTGTCATTGTCACAGTCGTTGTCATTGTTGTTTTAATTGTATCTAATTCTATTAGTTTTTAAAACTGGTAGCATTCAAATGTAGTTCCCTGGTATCAGTTAAGGTGCTCATTAAACTTCATTTCTGTTTATTCCTGGTGGAGAATAGACTGTAGAAGCCCCATTATCCCTAAAGCTTCCCACTGTATTTCCTTTATTTTTCAACCCCAAAAAAGGTATTTTTACTGTATAATACATAAATTCTTGTGACTGCCCAGGAGGTCCTTTATATGTCAACTTCCTTAATGCATCTATTAAAAAACATGTCAGTGTCCATTTTAGTCAAAAAGTAAGAGTTTAGGTCCCAGAGGAGACTCTATCCTTAATATCCTTTCCCTAAAAAGTTGTGACAGGTTGAGCAGGGTGGAAATAAAATTGTGACCTCAGATTCTCATGTTAAACTGGTTCAGAATGATCTGATTTCTCTTCCTTAATACAGACAGCAGAGCTGAGTCACTTTTTTGAAAGCCCTTATCTAAAAAAGTAACAATCAATGATTCATGAACAGCATTATTTGAGCCATTTGCCATTATACAAAAAGAAATACTTGGGGCAGGTATGTGGCTCAAGCGGTAGCGTGCTCGCCTGGCATGCATGCGGCTCGGGTTCGATCCTCAGCACCACATACAAAGATGTTGTGTCCGCTGAAAACTAAAAAATAAATATTAAAAAAAAATTCTCTCTTTCTCTCTCTCTCTCTCTCTCTCTCTCTCTTTTTCTCCCCTCTCTCTATCTAAAAAAAAAAAAAATACTTAGTCTTATTTTAAATAAAACAGGTGTAGGGAGAAAAAGAAACTAGAGGAGATTATTAGCCTGATACATATTGAATGTATTGGTCTCTTAAGTTTCTATTAAGCCATTCCTAAAGAAAACTGGGAAAGAGAGAGGAAAATGCCTGTTTTTCTGTCACAATCTCATGTTTAGATATTTTTGTTAATATCTTTGATAATTATGCTAAATGCCACAGTGGCACTCATCTGTTTTCACTCTTAAGCAGATTCTAGCAGTCCCTCACAAACTCAAAATGTGTAATTAGTTTATAAAGATCAAAGATGGGAAGCCTGTCTCCAGATGTTTCTGAGGAAGTAGCTACAATCACTGAGGCACAGAGGAACTATGGAGATTTGAGGGATGAATAAAAACCCTTTGTCAAGCAGATGTTATAAAGATGAGCAGGAAATAATTGTTTTTATTAACAAGTAAAATAAGTTTAAGCCCAATGTCAGCAATAAAAGAATCAAAGTAATTTTGTCACAATATGAGACTGAGGAAGATTTAAAGTTTACTGTATTTGCCTTAATTATAAAACAGAAAAAGCAAAATGTAAGGTGAATATTAATCCCCAAAGCTTTTATTTTACAGATATTCAGGAGCAGCTTGCGGTCTGGCCTTTGTATTCATATATCCATCTCTCATCTATATAATTTCCCTCCACCAAGAAGAACGTCTGACATGGCCTAAGTTAATTTTTCATATTTTCATCATCATTTTGGGTCTGGCTAACCTGATTGTGCAGTTTTTTATGTGAAAACGGTTTTCTTAAGATCTTTCATGGTATTTTGAGCCTTGACAATAGTTCTACATAAACTCACTTGTAAATGCTATTGCTGCTGTAATTCTAAATGTTTTTCTAAAATAATTTGAAAGCAAAGGTCTATTACTAAGTATTTTTTATTAGAGTGGGAAAAGGATCAATAAGAATGAATAGTCTCTTTACCTTTATCATATTCACTTACCTCTTCATTCTCATTTGTCTTTTTTAAGTAGATATATAGGAAAAAAATCATAGGGTGTCCTGCTTAGAAATATAAGGTAGGTGGATTTATTTTAGCTATAATAAGGATTCTCAGGGTTTCACAGCATTTGCTAGCATATTACTAGATCCTGTTTCTGCTTTATGTTTCCATGTACTCAATTTCATTTTCATTTTCTAGAGTATGTCTATAGGCTTAAACTTCTACCATTTGGGACTGTAAACCAAATACCTCATTTAAAAAAAAAAAAAATGCTTCCATGGCATCAGTGTTAATAGAATGAATTCTTAACTGAATCTTTAATCTCTGTTTGAAGGGCAAAAATTTAAAACAGTGTTAGTATGAGCCTCATAATCAGAAAATTATGCAAAATGAATTAGGAGAGTTTGTAGCGTGTCTGACTCCTCCTTTATTTCTAACTCATTTTCAGTTTTGTAGGTTGAAATTATAGTTGCCCAAACCAGGTTTTGCATTGGAGCAAGAATGATTGTCCCCATAGACTCAGGGGACCCTTCTGCTTTTTGGATCCCTGAATTGCAGAGGCTGTCATGACAGGCCCAATGGGGAAAGCATGGGCAGAGAGAGGCATATGAGGCCATGCAGGGGAGAAAAGGAAATGGAGAAGAGGCCTGGGAAGGTAAGGCTCTGCCCAGCATATCTTGACTCCTCTGGGAGTGAAAGTGGTTTCTCTACCACAGAGAAGGATTCATTCTGTTTAAAACACGACTTCCAAAAGGAGTCTGAAGTCTGGCCAGGCAGAGTTCAATCCCCATAAGAAAAACTTACATCCAAAAAAAAAAAAAAAGATTAAGAAATCTGGATTCTTAGAATTAAGAATCTTTTTTCTCTGATTTTAGGCTAAAGTTCATAAATGTGTTGATAAAGATTTCACATTCCAGGATAATGCGTAGATTTGTATTATTTCCTTCCCTGCAAAATATGGGTAAAATCATATTGTATGCCTAGTAAGGAGCTCCAGATTTAAGACCAGCCTTAATTTCTTTAAGCAAAGTTTTCCATTCTATTCATTGACCCATATGTCTATATTAATGATAATTTATAATTCCTGAAGCTTTTTTAAAAGTCTCATTATTAAAATTCTCAAACACACATAAAAATAGAATAATATGGTACACACCTACACATCCATACGCAGAGTTTAGTAATTGCAAGGCTTAGCTGCTTTTGCTTCACCTGTCCTTTTTGTTCTTTTCTACTGAAATATTTTTATAGTCAATCTCAGACATTATGTCAGTTCATTTCTACATATCTTAACATATGCAGCTAATAGGCTTTTAAACTTAGTTACATTTATTATGGAGATAGTCTCAAAGTTTTTGGTAGCAGAAACTGCTGGTAAAAATTAGGTCAATTGGAAAATTCTGTATTAGATGTCTCAATTCCTGTGTTAACCTCTCCAAGTATAAGGAATGAAGAAATGACTCTGCTTGAGAGCCTCTGGATTTATATGACTTACTCAGTTAAGAGATATAAGATGCAACAACACTAGAGAGATCTTCTAGGCTCAATCCCTATTTATTCCTAATTACTTCCCTTCTCTTTATGAACTTTAGAGATAAAGTTTTCATTGCCTCTTTTCGAAAATGTACTTGAATGCTTTAACACATGCAAAAATGATTTGATGTGTTTTGCCCACTTAATGGACAAAGGAAATATGACAATTTCTAAAATCCTGTTAGATATATGCTTAATGGCATAAGAGACTATCTCCTTTGGCCTGTTATTGGCATGGTTAAACTCTTTGTATTTGAATGTGTGTGTCCTGGCTCACACATTAGCATAACAAGATATGAAATCATTGGGATCACATGACAATTAATTTGAGATTTTTCTCTACTGTCTATCATCTCTTTGAATTTTCTAATTAAGTTTCTTTCACTTTTTGCTCAGATGAGGTTAACTTTAGCTGCTTTGAAGGTAGCTTTTTTAACATACAACTGAAGGACACTATAAAATTTAAAATGGTTTCTTTAGAGAGGTCTTCCTTAGAAATTCTGTGGAAGAATATGTGGCATATGCCAATACTAAATTAGAAAGGACAAAGAAAATGTAACTAAGTTTGATACCTGTGGATGATCATCTGAAATCAATTTCATGAGCAAATCCAAAAACTCATGGGAGTACAAAATAAATTTATCCAAAAAAAGAGACTATATTATATGGAAATGCTTTATATACAATAAGTATATTTTGTAAATACTATGTAAAGTCTAGTAGTACACTTTTTTGTTTCTCTTTGGAGTTCACTGGTAGAATTTTTTGTGTTTTGATATACTCATTTCCATAAATATTGAATAAACTACAATGTTCTGTGCTTTGGAGGAGACAGAGGTGTATAAGACATCATTCGTGTTCTAAAGGAACTTTCAATCTAGTAAAGGACCTGTGTTCACAATAATGAATGTTGCAATACAGTTCATGCTGAGCACCTTTGGTGGGCATCCTAGGGTGGGTTGGTAAAGCAAGCTGAATTATGAAGCAACAGGGCCCGTTGTCAAGCTTCTCCTAATAACTGTCCAAAATTTAAATTTTTTTAATATTTATTTTTTAGGTGTAGATGGACACAACACAATGCCTTTATTTTTGTGTGGTGCTGAGGATCGAACCCAGGTCCCACCTGTGCTAGGCGAGTGCTCTACCACTGAGCCACAATCCCAGCCCCCAAAATTTTAAATATTTGATATGTTTGCCAGCAAACGGAATCATATGTTAAGTATATTTGCTTTAACTTGGATAAATTTCCTCTAAGTCAAGTTTTACAAGATGTGTTTAACTGCTTCTTCATGCTGTTACTTTTTGCGTTCTTAGCACAGTCTGTTATTCACTTCTGTGAGTCATGCACAGCAAAGCCAAATGATTAATAGGGGAAATAATTAGAAACATATTGGGTGGTACAAACAAAAACATTCTATATAATTTTCTGTCAGGCTGGGCATGTAACTCAGTGGTAGAGCAGTTATGTACCACATGTGAGGCCCTGGGTTCGATTCCCAACACACACACACACACACACACACACACACACACTTTTCTCCAGAAATTTCACATGTTTAAATGTCAGTATTCATAATCTCAAATGTTTGAGCCGTTGATAACAGCAGGAAATATTGATGCTATATATTTTCTTTACAAATCACTGACCTTTTGCTTTTTAAAATCTGGTAGTTGTTCTGTTTTTGGTTTTATTTTGTGCTTTGGGGAATGGATCAAACCCAGGGCCTTGCACATGCTAGCCAGCAGTCTACCACTGAGCCACGTCCCCAGACTTTGTTTTTTTCTCAGATTCATCCCAATTGGAATGTCCAAAACCAAATTCAAATCTAGTTGACACTTAAACAGTAGAATGTGACATTAGTTTGTAATCCAAAATAAAATTAATCCTCTTAATGCACCCAAACTGACCTGACTGGCCCCAGTTTTATACTTAACTGCCATTTCACTTCAGATTATGTAAACACATATTGCAAAACAGCGCTGATGGGAACCTCTTAACCTAAATAGTATTCTCTGAAATGTAATTTGTTTTTTCATAGGAAAGTAGAAATTAAATCAGTATTATTTGAAAGAAAAATATTTCTGGGATTTTGTTTACTTAATTTTTGCTGGGAAATGCTATTGTCTCCTTGCTCTGGCCCCAGGACAAGAAAACCTTAGGTTCCATCTTTTGCAGGGTCAGACTTCTCAATGACTATGACACTGCAGATATGCTTGGTCCTGTTTCTAGCAAAATGTTGGTGTCATCATTTTCCAGAGTCCCTTAAGCCAAAAAAGGCCTCTAAATTTTTGACATCCCTAAGTAAAATTACTTTTTTTTCCCCAACATAATTTTTATTGATTTCCAAGTTCTTCTGAAAAGGTAAAATAAGGCTATGTCTTTTTAAAAGATTGGAAACTTCTCCATTCTCTTTATTGACCTCAGACCATATAGTACAGACCTGGGACAGGGGTGAAAAGGCATTCACTCTCCAGATTTTTCTTCCTTTGGTTCTCTGTCAATACCAAGTGATCTAGGCACTCAGTTTACACTTGTTTAATTAACTACACAGGATTCTTCTTTAGTAGAAAATGGTAAGTTAATTGCTATCATCTAGGATTTTATTCCATACATCTTCCCCTCCAAAAATATTGGGTCAGTCACATTCAAAGTTAGTCACTCAGTTAATATTTGAATACTAACTTCATGCTAGATCTTGTACTAAACACTGAGCTTACAGTGGTGAACAAGCCAGACGTGACCCTCACAGTTTGTCATCCTTTGCAACTGAGTCGACCGTCTTCCTTAGGTATCACTGAAGTTCCCACCTCCCTGTCTGTTGAGTGCCATGATGAAGCCACATCATACACATTTTAAAAAGATATATATAGGATAGTGATGCTCACTTTGTAAAGTGAGCCGTGTTTATCAGCATAATATTTTTTCAAATCCAAGGTTAATTATAATCACATTAAAATTAGGTGGACAAACCTGGAAGGTGCCACAGATGAATAGGTGACTTTTGAGATGATGGATTCTAGGTGAATCATTTTTGTTCTTGCTTTGACATTTGCCTAGCAAATTTTTCTAAAAAGATGTCTAGGATAGGGCTGGGGATGTGGCTCAAGCAGTAGCGCGCTCGCCTGGCATGTGTGCGGCCCGGGTTCGATCCTCAGCACCACATACAATCAAAGATGTTGTGTCCGCCGAGAACTAAAATAAATAAATATTAAAAAAAAAAAAAAAAAAGATGTCTAGGATAAATCATGGCACAGAAATCTTGTGGAAGTATATCAGCACTCAACCATGAGGTAGAAAACCTTCAAATGGATTACAAAGAGCTTTGATTACAGGGACAGATTCAGGTTTTATGGAGCCCAAAGCTTATATAATTTGGAGTTCCCTCTTTAAAGAAAAACATATAAAATTAGGAGCCCCAAATTAGGAAGGAGCCCATAGATGTGAGGAACTCTAGCTTTAGCTTTTTTAGCATTAAAATAAATCACACACAAACCATTCTAGGAAGAAGGGAAATGTTTGAAAGCTGAAGAAGGAGTAATCCGGAAATGTTTCAGGCTCCCTATTCAATGTGTCAAACTTTACATTTCTCTGCCACCTTTAAGAACTGTATCTTTGCCGAGTACATTGGTGCATGCCTGTAATCCTAGTGACTCTGGAGGCTGAGGGAGGAGGATCGAAAGTTCAAAGCCAGCCTCAGTAACTTAGTGAGACCCTGTCAAAAAAAAAAAAAAAAAAAATTGGCTAGAGATGTAGGTCAGAGTTAAGTGCCCCTGGGTCAATCCCTGGTACCAGGGACATTTTTTTTTTTCCGACTGGAAAATTTTTACCTGGCAATGGGTTTTGCAAGCTATTAATATTTTGTTGTTGCTGTTGTTGTTGTTTTAATTAATCTCTACAGAGATAACAAAGAATTCAAAGAATGCTGTTTAATTTTCAAATAGTAGTCTTTGTCTACCTTAGGGATGAGGAATGTTTTAAGGGCCATTGATAAAGAAAACAAGTTACCTAGAGCAGAATTAAAGTAAGGCAACATTTATTTATTTATATTCCACCTTGTTCCTGAAAGGAAATATTTTTATTCTCTTAAAGAAAATCAACTTTAAAGGACTAACTTGAAGACTTTTTAGAAAGCATTAGAAATTTATGATATTCCTTGAAGAGAGAAAACGAAAACTTGATTCAAATAAATAATTACTCCTCAGTGCCATATCATTTATAATCCTGTACTGTAGATAAAAGCCAATATTTAATGCACAAAACTTTCACTAATTATCCTAGATTTGGAAGTGCAAAGATAAAATCAGAATAAGTACCAGATTTCTCTTTATTTAATTGAAACTATAGCCCTTCCCTGTAAAATCTTTTAATGCTCCAGTAGAAAAACAGGCAAGGGCCTTTGTAACAGAAAACTGGAAATGAACATGAGGAGAAAAAAGTTTAGCAACAAATGACTTCTAGATAGATTTATTTGCAACACACAATCGCAGAAACGTTATGCCAACTGAAAGAAGCCAACTGCAAAATAACTACACTTTGTATGTTTCCATTGGTATGAAATCACAATAAAGGACAAATTATAGGAAAAAAAAAAAGTAGAACAGTGGTTTTCTAGAACAGAGGTTATCCATGGGTATAGGGGAACTTTCTGGGGTGGTAGAAATGTTTTAGAAGTGGATTGTGGTATTGGTTGCCACTGTACATTTACTGAAATCATTGAATTGCACATTGACATTGCTTGAATTTTATGGTATGTAAGTGATCCCTCAAAGCTGTTTTAAAAAACTCAAACTCCGAGAGGGAGCTGGGGTCGTGGCTCAGTGGTAGAGCGCTTTCCTGGCACGTATGAGGTGCCACATATAAATAAATAAAAGATCCATTGACAACTAAAAAAAAAAATCTAAAAAAAACAATTCAACCTTATTAGTAGGAAAGGAAAAATAATGCTTTCTACTTGGTAAATAACAATAATACCCTGACAAAGATGTGGAAAGCGTACGCTTATACACAGATAATGGGTGTAAAAGTGGTGCGGACTTTCTGAAAGTAATTTGGGAAATTTATACTAAAACCTCAAAACGGGGCTCAGTGGTTGAGTGCTTGCCTTGCATGTGTGAGGCACTGGGTTCAATCCTCAGCACCACATAAATGAATGAATAAATAAATAAGATTTTTAAAATATATATTTTTTTAAAAAGACCTCATGTCATTTGACTCACTTCCAAAGGAAAATCCCAATGAAAAAATTGGACAAATGTGGTCAGTCACTCAGAGATGTTCATCTCATTATTATATGTAATGGAAAAATTAGAAACAGTTGTCTAATGTTAGGAGATAAATTATGAAATCTCCTTATCAATACTATGTAGCTATTTAAAATGATGATGCTGATGTATATATGTAATAAATGTCACAATGATGTTTATAAGGGGGGGGTTACAGTTAAATATGTAGAATTATAAAAATATTTGTTTATACACACGCATAGAAAAAGGTCTGGAAGTTTAACAGTTATGAACACTGATCACCTCTGGGTGCACCTTTTTATTGTTTTTTGTTTATCTATATTTTATAAAGTTTTTAAGTAAAATGTATCATATTCTGTGGGGGAAAAGCAATAAAAATTTTTTATTTAAAAATATCTTTCATTGACTTCTCATCACTTAAAACTGTAGGGACCATTTTTGATATTAAGAACGTCCAGAATGGAAAGTTCTGGGCTGGTGGGTGGCTCAGTGGTAAAGCACTTGCCTGACATGTGTGAGGCACTGGGTTCGATCCTCAACACCACATAAAAATAAATAAATAAAACTAAAGGTATTGTGTTCATTAAAAAAGAACAAAAAAATTTTATTAGTGCATTATAATTGTACATAATAGTGCGATTTGTTGTAACATTTGTACATACCCATAACAATATAATTTGGTCAACTTCATGGAATAAAAATTCTTCATACACCACAGTAGTTGTACTTTTAGTGTTTATTGATTGATAAAAATAATGACTAAAAGCTATTACAGTTTCTGTACCACTGATATACCACACTGGTTTGATATATTATCATAGTATTTGTAGACGTTTAAACATGTTTCTAGCTGGGCACAGTAGCACACACCTGTAATCCCAGCAGGTCAGGAAGCTGAGACAGGAGGATCTCGAGTTCAAAGCCAGCCTCAGCAAAAGCAAGGTGCTAAGCAACTACAAGACCTGTCTTTAATTAAAGCAAGACCTTGTCTCTAATTAAAATACAAAATAGGGCTGGGGATGTGACTCAGTGGTCGAGTACCCCTGAGTTCAAACCCAGTACCAAAAAAAAAATGATTCTATCAAATGTATGCAAATAGAAAGTAAGAAGATATTCTACTTCCTGGTTCCTGCCTCAGACTGAGCTTAGAGTAGAATTACTTGAGCTATTTATTCACTATAATAGCCAAGGAACAGAACCAATAGAAGAGATTTATATATAGATATAGGGACATGGGGAGATTTATTTTAAGGAATCTACTAATTGTCATGAGGCTGGCAAGTTCAAAATCTGCAGGATAGGCTGGTAAGATAGAGATAGGCAGGGCTGGGGTTGTAGCTCAGTGGTTGAGCGCTTGCCTCTAATGCATGAGGCACTGGGTTTGATCCTCGACACATAAAAATAAGTAAATAAAGAGATTATATCCATCTACAAAAGTTGTCTGCAGGCAGAATTCTCTCTCCTCTGGGACACCTCTCTTTTTTTCCTAAGGACTTCAACTGACTGGATGAGTCTTCCCCACTGTGGAGGGTAATCTATTTTACTCAAAAATCTATTGATTTAAATGCTAATCTTATTTCAAAACAGACCCTTTATAGAAATGTCCAGATGTGATTAGCCAAATATCTGGGTACCATGGCACAGCTAAAGTGACAAAACATACCAGCAGGTTGGAAGTTGTTCCCCCTTCTTCCTGCCAGTTATCCAGAAATGATGCTGGGCTTGCCATATTAGGGAGATAGCATGTCACATGATGGCAGGACCAGCAGACATCTCTGAAACACTAATGGGCAGAACCCAATCAGGACAACTTGCATTGGCTAACCAGCCCTGGGGCCCCAGATGAGGTGCTTTATTAGAACCTCTGGTCAGGACATTGCTCAAGCACAATAGAAAATGGAAAAGCAGTTCTCATCCCTGTCCATTGGGCCCAACACTACCCAGGCCTAAGATTGGCCCCAAAAGACAGTAACAGGCCAGGTTGAGGTAACAACTTCCCCATGGAACACTCAGAGCCCCTCCTCTCTCCCTTATGCCCCAGGAGCCCACCATTTCCCACTTAGTAATTTCTCTAAACACAGCAGTACAGATCTCACCCACTTTTTTAGAAAAGAGAAAAAAAAATTAAAAATGCACAAAAAGCATTTTTAAAAAAACCCATAATTTCACCATATGTTTAATATTTTAGTGTTCAGAAGGAAAAATGAATTGAAACATGATTTCCTTAACATAAGCAATTTCCTAACATTAATATTTTTAAATGATTAACCACATGCTCCTTTATAATTTATTAAATCAGCCCTCTATTATTGGATGGTTTTTCCAGTGTTGCTATTTTAGTTATTATGATTTTTGTTATTAATCTTTGGATACATATTTTTTTACTATATCCAGTCACATGAAATAAATTCTAGGAAGTAGAATTGATGGGTCAACAGCTATAAATATTACAGCCTTTATTTTGATATGGCCAATTTATCTCCTTGAAAATTACACTAATTTATACTCACACCATCAGCACAAGAATACCTATTTCTGGGCTGGAGTTGTGGTTCAATGGTGGACCACTTGCCTAGCATATGTGAGGCACTGGGTTCGATCCTCAGCACCACATAAAAATAAACAAAATGAAGGTATTGTGTCCATCTACAACTAGAAAATATTTTTAAAAGAATATCAATTTCCCCAAATCCTATATATAAAACATATCTGCTAGTCTAATAGGCTTAAAGTGATGTCTTCTTGTTTCAATTTGCACTTCTTTGATTATAAGTGAGATTGTTCTGTTTTTATTTTTCACATTTACTGGTCATTTTGAGGTTTTCTTTATTGGTTGTACAGGAGCCAAGGCTAAATCATCTCAGACAGCCCTGATACTCTGAATCCTGATTCTAAATCTTGCTGAAGGTATATTTTGTTGTTTTCCTAAATCTTTTAAAAATAGTTCTCTTGGTTCCTTTGTTTCTGATGACTTTTCACCTAACAGCCAGAGCATGAATAATGTTCCATGGTTAATCACATTTAGCCTGCTGCAGAAACTGTTTTAGTTTATCAGGTTAACTCAAGGGAATTCTCTGAGAACAAAGTTAAGATTTGGAGAAGTTCCAGGGCTCTCTACCCTGGCCAGCTTCATTTAGGCTCAGCACCTTGAACACAGCCCCAACTGCGCAAGAGCTCCTGATGGCTGCTCACTCATCTCTCCTACTCTAAATATTTTGGTTATTATTCTATCCCTATCACCTACATTTTATCAGACTCAAAAAATATTCATTGATGGAATGAATAAAATTCCTAAGAATAAAGAGTTTGTTGTCAAAATCAAACTGCAAACAAAATAGGAGAAATTACAAATAGATGTTATTCTCAACTTATTATGTGTAAAAGCTATCATCTTAAGTTTCAAAGCCATGGAGGAAGTCACATGGAAAAAAAGATTTTTTTTTTCCTTTTTCTTTACTCCAGTGCTGGGATCAAACCCAGGACCTTGTGTGTACTAGGCAAGCTCTGTACCACTGAGCCATATCCCATCCCTGTAGATTTGATTATATAGAATATTAAACTCTATAGATCAAAAATATCAAAAGAGAAGTATCACACTGGGAAAACATTTGAATATATATATGTATATATTCAAATGTATACACACACACACACACCCCCCTCAAATACACACACTCATTCACACACATGTATGATGCATCAATATGGAAATAAGGGAACTAAGATATTCCAGTACAAAAATGAGAAAAGAACATAAAACAGACAATTTTCAAATGAGAAAGTACAAATGACTAAGAGCTATACAATAACAAAGAAAAACCATTTTCTAACAACTGTTATTACAAAAAGACAATAATTATAGTACTGCTGAGTAGGGCACAGGGAATGGGGCATACCCTCCTAGATCTTCAAAGTCAACTTTTTAAAACTCAAAAGACATTCAGTTTTTTTTCCCCTGCATTTTAGCCATTTAGACCTTACCATAGGAGCAATACATATCAAAAGACTTCAACGACTCTAAAACATTGGGAGAAGGCTAGAAGCACAAGGAATTGAAACTGGTAGATTAATATTAAAGTACTATTCCATTACACATAGGTAGAAATCAAATGTGATTTATTCATTGGTAGTATTTTCTACAGGTAGCTCATCAACACTTTATTTCAGTCACCTATGCCTTAGATCAAAGAATTATTGGTGAAGTTACTTGTGTTATTGATACTGCTTTTTATTGGGTATTAGTTTCCCAGAGGTACAGAGAGCACGATGGAATGATGAGCCACATATAAGCCACATAATACAAATAAAAATTTTTCTGTTACAAAATCTTATCTTTCAAAAAAACGTTCATTGGGGCTGGGGATGTGGCTCAAGCGGTAGCACGCTGGCCTGGCATGCGTGCGGCCCGGGTTTGACCCTCAGAACCACACACAAAGATGTTGTGTCTGCCGAAAACTAAAAAAAATATATTAAAAAAAAATTCTAAAAAAAAAAAAAAGTTCATTATCTCTCAGCAGATTTTGTTTTCTTCTTGTGTGTTTTGTTTTGCTTTGAGATAGGGCCTTGCTATTTTGCTTAGGCTGGCCTCAAACTCCTAGGCTCAAACAATCCTTTTGCCTCAGCCTTCAGAATGGCTGGGACTACAGGGACACCACCACACCCAGCTCTGATTTGATAGAAATTTCATCTTAGGGGATGGGGTTGTGGCCCAGTGGTAGAGCACTTGCCTGGCATGTGTGAGGCACTAGGTTCGATTCTCAGCACCACATATGAATAAATAAAAAATAAAGGTACATCAACTAAAAAAAAGAAAACGAAATTTCACCTTAGCACAGGCCTCAAGACAAAATTAGAAATGTCCATTTCAGAATTCTTTTTTCTTGCTCTTCACAAACCACAGTGTGAATTCCTAAAGAGCAGGTTGCCCTGTCACAAAAGCTCCATTCGGCTTCAGAGTCTGTTGTTATTTTCCCTGCGTGGAGGACAGATTTTTGTTGTTGTTGTTGAATCAGGATCATATTTGCATCTGGTAGGATAATGGGCCATATTCTCTTCTGTCCACACATGGCTACAGTGACGATAGCAAGAATCACTCAAGACAGAAGCTGGCTCAGCCAGTACTAAACTCAGCCTGATTTTAAGAAGTAAATGGTCAAGTTAATAGTTATCGAAGAGCAAAGCAGCTAGTGGATTTGAATCCTTTGAAATTTCCAGCCCAGGGTATGAAGTAATTCCAGATTGTAATGAGCTTCAGAGTCCTCCCTGACTGTAAATAAAAACATACAACAATTGTATATCGAATCTAGGACTTTGTGTGGCACTAGGTAAATTGATTGCTAAACTCCAAGTCCTGATTCTCCCTTCCGTTGTTGATGTTTAGATTCTCCACTGCCTTCAGAATCTTTCTAATATTCACCTTTCTTCAAAGTGGCCCCAAAAGATGAGTCAAAAATTCCATAACTCTCTCCGCATGGGGAAGCGGGAGACCCAGAAAACTGAAGCGAATTTCCTACTCTCACAACAGGGAACTCTGAGTTATCAAGTGGTTATGGAAATTTAGTCAAAATGGAAAAGACACTTCCTCATCCTTAGGTTCTTTCTTGTGTTTGTTTAAAAATAAAAGCCTTTCCATTTCATGGATTCATGAGAGACTGGGATTTTGACACATAAAACTTGGAATTCCTCTAACTGGTCAGAACACTCCAGTCACTTCTCTGGAA